GGCTCAAGTGGTAGAGTGTTAGAAATGAGCACAAACACTCAAGGATGGCACCCAGTCCCTGAGTTCAAGTCCCAGGAAATAAACAAACAAACAAACAAAGGTTTCATAGAGTAATCATTTTTTATGAGATGCTCCCTTCCTGTCATTATGTGGGATCATGGCTATGACTTAATCTAAAACACACCCTCAGAGGTTAAGCTGTGATCTTCTAAAGGATTCACAGAAAATATGTCATTGTATACTCATGAAGATCTACTAGCAAGATGGAGCTAGGTTTGCACTTCCTTCTTCCAGATTAGAAAAAAAAGTGGAGTTTTCTGTGTGTCGTTTCTGTGTGTAATTCCTCTCTTTCCCCTTTTATCATGTGATTAACATGTTCAACCCTTGGATCCATGAGCATGTGGTTCCAGGCCACCACTGGGGAAGAGCTACCAAGAGGCTCAAGACATGTAGAGTTCAGATGCTTGCTTCGTGTTTTCTATAAGGCTCCCAAATTCTGCTAAAGGCGTGCCCCTTTCGACACATGCCAGAGTTCTACTTCAGCAATTACACAAATCACATTCACTTTGATCTCACTTTGGAGGGCCCACTTGCTTTTTCAGAGGCAAATCCAACCCCCCTCCCCCAAATTAAAGGCAGGGAAACACTTCTTGGATCACACAAAGACTGGAACACCAAGGATAAAAACAGGGAGAGCCTCTCTGAATCAACTGAGGATGCAGAAATTTAAAAGTCAGCTTCTAAATTTTCTTTTGATTTTTATTGATTTATTGACCCATCTTTGTCAAAACTGCACCTAATGAGTCTGGGAAGAGGCAACTTACTGTATCTTGTTTATCATCATTATTATTATTATCAGTATAAAAGTCAGGCATGCATACTGCAGAACATTTTCTCCAATAAGAAAAATGAAAAGACATCCCACACCCAAGAATGATAATAAAAACAAGCTAGTGTATTTCATTTTGTGTGTGTGTGTGTGTGTGTGTGTGTGTTACACTCAGGGCCTGGGTCCTGTCTCTGAGCTTCTTTTGTTCAAGTCTGGCACTCTACCACTTTGAAACACAATGACATTTCTGGTTTTCTGGTAAATTAATTGGAGATAAGAGTCTCATGGACTTTCTTGCAGGGCTGGCTTTGATCCTTGATCCTCAGCTCTCAGCCTCCAGAGTAACTGGTATTACAGGCGTGAGCCACTGGTGTCCGGCAAGCTAGTGTATTTTTCATTCTACTTCTTTGCATATCTGAAAATAGTTACAGAGGGCACTGCTACACATGCCTGTAATCCTAGTTAATCAGGGGCCTGAGACCTGGAGGATCATAGTTCAAAGCCAGCCTAACCAGAAAAGTCTATAAGACTTGATCTCCAAGACTCTATCTCCAATTAACCAGTAAAAAGCCAGACTGAAGGTGTAGCTCAGGTGGTAAAGCACCAGCCTTGAACAAGAAAGCAGATCAAGAGTGAGAGGCCCTCAATTTAAACCTCAGTACTGGTACAACAAATTAAATAAGTAAATCAGTAAAATAGTTACAGTTATGTTTGTAGTTAATCATGCTTTTAAAATGTAATGTTACACCAAAAGTGGGTTTTTTTCATGTTACTATCTTAAAGTCACTCAGTCTCACACAGATAAAGTTGATTGGGTAACTGCCCTTGTACTAATATTTCAAAACCATGTTTATCTCTGAGTTCTCATCCAGATTTAATCCACCAGTGGAAAGTATCAATATTCTGTAAAAAAATTTTCAGTCAGTTGTGGGGCTTGAACTTGAGGGAGGCCTGGGCGCTGTTCCTGAGCTTCTTTGTGTTCAAGGCTAGCGCTCTACCACTTAAGCTACAGTACCAGTTCTGGGGGTTTTGAGTGGTTAATTGAAGATAAGGGTCTCACGGAGACTTTTCTCCCCGAGCTGGCTTCAAATAGAGATCCACAGATCTCAGCCTAATGATTAGACACGGGCACCTGGCATTGCTCTTAATATCTAATCATCAGTACTCTTACTAACTAATCATCAGAGAGCTATAAATAGCAATGGAGCAATTGAATTGTAATTTTAATTACATTCCATGATTGGCTACCTGAACATTGCTTGGCAAGAACCATTTTTAATATGTAGGGAAATAGAATCTTATGTTTAAATTAAGTTAATTTGCAGCTAGTATCCTTACTCAAAAGGATCATATTGGTGGCTAAAATAAAACAATACCATGTATACGTTTTCATAATGCCTATCAGTATACATAAAAGGGATTCCACAAATATCTTTTAAATTAAACTAAGGTGTTTTTTCCTATATCACATCCTATCACATTTGTTTTGTTCTCTAATAAAAACTATTTGAGGGGCTGGGAAGGTGGCTCAGTGGTAGAGCGCTTGCCTTGCATGCCTGAGGCCCTGGGTTCGATTCCTCAGCACCACATAAGCAAAAAGAAAAAAGCTGGAACTGGCGCTGTAGCTCAAGTGGTAGAGTACTCGCCTTGAGCTGAAGAGCTGAGGGACAGCGCCCAGGCCCAGAGTTCAAGCCCCACGGCCGACAAAAAAAAAAAAACAATAACAAGGCTAAAGCCCTGTAAGTTCCATTACAGAACTTATCCTGTAAAATAGCTTTAATACCTTTTAAAAATATCTTTAATAGCTGGTCACCAGTGACTCATGCCTATAATCCTAGCTACTCAGGAGGCTGAGATCTGAGGATTTGGGTTTAGAGTTAGCCCAAGCAGACAAATCTGAAAAACTGTTACCTCCAATTAACCAGCAAATATGAAGGAAATTGAGGTGTAGCTCAAATGGTAGAGTGCCAGCCTTGAGCAGAAAAAGCTAAACCAGAATGTGAGGCCCCAAGTTCAAGCCCCAGGACCCACATACACAAACAAATTCTCAAACATATCTTTTGTTTAATTTATGTCATACTTCAACAAATATCTTGACAGAGGATATTGGTCTGTAAGGAATTCCATCTTGCTCCAAAAGTCTAGTAAAATCATCCCACTGGCAAAAGAAGTTCTTTCATCCACCAAGAACTAACTTCTTCTGCAGCCAGAAGTTAGGAATTGACAACCCATTCTTACAAGGAGAAAAGTCTAACAAATTTTTGCCTTGGTTGATCAAAGCAATGCTCTGTAGTTTGTTGGGTATAGTGGAACCTACCTGTAATCTCAACAGTCAGGAGGCTGAGGTAGAAGCAGCACAAGTTTGAGGGCAACCTAGGTTACATAGTAAGACCCTATCTCAAAAAACAAGGGGCTGGGACTGTGGCTTAGTGGTACAGCATTTGCTTAGCATTCACGAAGCCCTGGGTTTGATTCTTCAGACCACATAAACAGAGAAAGCCAGAAGTGACACTGAGGCTCAAATGGCAAGAGTGCTTGAGCAAAAAAAGCTCAGGGACAGTGCCCGGGACCTGAGTTCAAACCACAGGACTAGCAAACATAAAACAGACAAACCAAAAAACAAAAACATGCAAGCAAATGAGGATCATCAGGCTTAGGTTTCATATTAAAGTAGAAGGAGATCCCTTTCATTTATCAGTCCAGGAAAACAACTGACATCTCCATCATTTCTTTTATGGTTAAGAAAAGGAGGGGAGGCACAGAAATGGAGGGACAAAGGGTGAACAAATGCAGCACTGGTGCTCACTGGATACTATGTTGAAAATGAACTATACACCTTGTGGGTGGGATGGGAGGAAAAAACTGTGGGTGATGGAAGGGGTGACATTGTCCAAAAGGAAATGTACTCTTTGCCTGACTCATGTAACTGTATCCCCTTTGTTTTCAGTAGTTTCAAATAAAAATAATTTTTAAAAAGAAAAAACATAAATGTATAAATACATGTTTACAGAAATCTACATGTTCACGTGGATAAGTAGGAATGAATGAGAATCATGGAGAGCTAAGAAAGATTCGATAGATGACATAAAATGGACAGATAGATGATAGGCAGATACACACACATAGAGAGAGTGGGAAGGAGGGAGAGAAGAAAAGGAGAGGTGGGAAGAGAGGCAGAGAGCGCTTGAGAGGCCGTCTAATCTTGATAATTGGTGGGAAAATTGTTCTATGACTTTTAATTTTTTAAATAAAAAATATTACAAACTACCTTACTTTGAGTTTAGATCCACAGGGCAACTAAAAATATAGTAAAGTTAATGTTTATTTGGCAAATGTATCATTTAAATATTAGAAAGATTAACAATTAATATTTCCTTTTTTTTTTTGTCTGTCATGGGGCCTGATCTCTGGGACTGGGCACTGTCCCTCACCTCTTCAGTTCAAGGCTAGTGCTCTACCATTTGAGCTATCGTACCATTTCCAGCTTTTTCTGCTTATGAAGACCTGAGGAATTGAACCCAGGGCTTCATGTATGCAAGGTAAGCACTCTACCACTGAGCCACCTTCCCAGTCCCTAAAGTGCTATATTTCTTAAACAAAGAAAAAGAAAGTTTAGAAGCTATTCTTCCAAACCAATGACAACCCATCAACATGCCAACGCCCACTCCTAAAGAACCCGCCTGAAGTTTAAAGGTGAACAGAGTATGTGTGGAGTATGTCAGATTGTGGAAGTTGGGGTACTCACAAGAGTAGGGCAGGGTGGTGGCCTCTGCCACTCAGCTTCCTCTGAGAACAAAGCATTCCCTAAGTTTGTGATGCTCCACCCCACCCCTCTCATATTTGGGTATGCTCTCTCTCTCTCTCTTTCTCTCTCTCTCTCTCTCTCTCTCTCTCTCACACACACACACACACACACACACACACACGATCATTCTATCTTACACTGGGGATGCAGGTTAACTGGTAAAGTACTATTTCATTCAAGGTGCAAATTCAGAGCTGAGCAGGTACTTCAATGGTTGAGTATTTCAGCCTCTATAAAGGTCCCAACACCAGAGATAGAGGAGGGAGGAGGAAGGGAGAGAGAGAGGGAGGGAAAGAGGGAGAGGGAAGGAGGGAGGGAGAGAGAGAGAGGTATCTACACATGAAGGCCAGAGTCTTAGGAGCTTACCAAGAATAATTCTTCTTGGTGCCAGGTCTGTGCTTCTGGAAGGTACTGTAGCTAAGTGGGACCAGCTGTCCAGGAAGTCTGAAGGCAGGGTGGTTAGCCTGTTGCTTGATAAATCCAAGTAGGCAAGGTTCTTCAGATTCTGGACAGCCTCGGTTGGCACACTGGCTATTCTGTTATTATGCAAGTCCAGGGTCCTTAGATGGGGCATGTCCCCCAGAGAAGCCCAGGGAAAGGCAGCCAGGGAATTCCCGTCCAAGCGCAACTCGTGCAGCTGCCTGAGGTTGTAAAAGCTGCTGGGTTCGATGCTGGCCACGGAGTTGTAGGTCAGCCAGAGGTACCGGAGCTCCACCAGGTAATAGAAGGCCTCGGCGGGGATGGTGCGGACCACTGTCTTCTCTATGCGAAGCTTCACAGTGTCCACCGGGAAGTTCGTAGGGACTTCATTCATATCCAGGTCATTACATAGCACTGACCTAGTATCACAAGAGCAATGCAGGGAGACCCACTTTCCACATCGAGAAAAAAAAGAATCCTTGTTTGAAACATGTTTGATTTTTCATTCCCTAGTGGTTGTCCCCCAAAAATCTTTTCTGTCTAGCATATTAATAATGTGGTGTGACTAATGTTCATGATCATCATTATCACGACTGAAATGAGTACTAGGTTGAACCACGTGTGTTAAAATAAAATAGTCAACTATCAGTCTTTTCATGGGACTACTAACCTGGTATTTAAGGACCTCTTTCTATCTCAGGTTGCTGTTGACACAAGTCACATCCATGACTTGATTAATCATCACAACAGCCCTAAGAGGTAGATAATGGATGACTGGTAAAAGTACTAGCTCAGCAGATGTGTGGCTCAATGCTAAAACATCAGTCTGGCAACATGACTCTGAGTTCTAACCTCACGACTGAAACAAATAAGCGAAAACACACCAGCTCTGCAGTCCAGCTGATATTGATTGAACTCTGAACTTTGTTCCCTCTCCAGTGGCCAGGAAAACAGGGGAAGCCACTTCCCTATACTTCAGGTGGCACTTTCCCACAGGACACTATTAAGCTGGTTACTTCACCTTAAAAAAATGGTTACTTATTTATGATCTACAAGTAGGTGTGCAAAGGGGTTTCATTTCCACATGTCAGTTTGTGAGTGCAACATATCTTGTGCAGTAAATGGAGAGAGGAAGGGTGGACGAATGGAGTGGTACTAGCAATGTACGTGAGTGGAAATGGTACTATGTAAATTGATGGGATGGGGGGATGATGGAATGAATCAAGGAGTGACTTTGATTAAGATGTTGATTACTTAAAATGAACGGAAAATTCTACACTGTTCTAGCCATACATTTGCCAATAGGTGTTGCTGCTATTGCCAACAACTTCAGTTTAACCAATATTTGGTGACTTCTCAAGGTCACCCAGTTAGTGGGTGACAGAGTGACTTTTCAAACCTAATCTACTTGGAAATATAAATAAAGCTCCTTAAGAAATGGACTGTGGTAAAAAGAATCCCTTGTTAAACGTCATAAGTTGATTCTTTTTTTCATTTTTTAAATTTTATTTTATTTTTTTGTGAACATACTGTACAGAGGGGTTACAATTACATGGGCAGGATAATAAGTTGATTCTTTTTGAGAGAATCCCTTTACAAGATACATGACACTCATGAACCGTATTGCTGAATTGAAACCCCTTTGTACCAATATGTAAATATAATAAATAAATATAGATAGTTAGAAATTAAAGAGAGGATTGCTTTATTGAGGGACAAAAGCAAGAGTTCACACTAGACATTTAAAGCTCAACTCTGCTTTAACAGAACTTGTGCATTGCTTTCTACCTAAGGAAGAAACCAGCAACTGAATTTTTTCCTCTAGCCTTCACTAACTGAACTGACCTTGAACTAGTCACATGTTGATTGTTGGCCAGCATATGTCACTTAGGCATAGAAAAAAGCCAGTCTCACATGAGGGCTGAAAGTATGAGGAATCTGAGAAGTCAGATTCATTTTAGCCTGTGAGGGACTCTGAATAGACTCACTTCAATTGTTGAAAAGGAGCCATAAGCAATGTTGCAATACATGACATAATCAGTAAATCATAAGGTGTCCATTCAGTAAGACATAGCACATTGAATCTGTGCATTTTACGTCAACCCATAATGTAAACAGAGGTGAGGAGCATGAGGCTGGGGTCCTAATGTGACCATCTTCTTATGACAAGTTTAGAAGACACTGTGGAATTGCTGAGATTTTCTGCAAATATGCTCCATTACAAATTTCATTGCTATTGTATACCAGAATGCAAGCATATCTACCCATATACCAGAATGCAAGCATATCTACCCATATACCAGAATGCAAGCATATCTACCCATTAAATAAGCTTTCTAGGGTGCTATGCTATAAGAAGTGTACAGGGGAGGCCAGAAAACCTGAATCTTGATCAACACAGTCTTTACAACCAACACAATTCTGTGATCTAGGATGAGTCAATTTGTCCCTGTTCAGATTCAACTCCTTGCTTGTGACATGACAGGAATTGAGCTATATTAGTCCAAGAGTTCTTGCTAGGCATAGTATTCTATATTTGTTTTAAAAAATCAACGAATAAAGGGGATATCATGGAGAAGAAGACATGTCTGGTAGTTTTCCCAGAAATAACTCTGCTCTGGTTCCTGTACAAATAATTATTTAATTTGTGTTCTTTTCATTATCTTTAACCTCCTAGTAAACATCTCAAAAAAAAAAGATACCAAGAATTGGCTGAGTAAAGCCACTCACACATAAGCTTTAATTGTTTTGTTATTATTATTGTGATGATGATGATGATGATTGTGATATATTGACTGGTCTTGAGATCAAACCCAGGGCTTTATACATGCTAGGCAAATTCTCTACACCTGAACCACACTCCATCCCTAATGGCTATTATGTGTTGAAAGTTGTGGTATTCTTTTTATTACAGTGAGTAATTCACTGTTTTTACTTCTACTAACGTAGTCACAGATAATCTGACATTGTTATTAAATATCCTCTTTAAAACATCAAGATCTACTGTGTTTAGCTATTATGAATTCATGTTTGCATTTAACTTACATCTAAAAGGATGTATATCCATATATATATATATCATAAATTACTATGCTTACAAGGCAGATCTATTTTAAAATAACATTCAGATTAAGCAACTCCTAGGATGCCCTGTAGTGTCTAAACAGATGGCTCAATGTCTTCACTTTTTAAATTCCATAAGTTAAAATGAGAAATTCCAGTTGCCAGCCTCTCTAACCTCACTCTTGTGATCTTCTTTTCCACTGTCCAGCTGCTGGCACGAATAATTCTCAGATGAAATGAGAAGCAATAGCAGATGCCGGGGCCAGCGCCAGCAGCTCCTGCCCAGCTGTCCTGGGCAGCTTTCTGTAAGTACAGCCCGAGCTGGGGACACATATTGAAAATAGCTTGACTTGATACAAGAGATGCTTCGTGAATGTGAGTGAAATGAGTTTTGTAATACAGAATGTGTTTAGAAATGTCAGTTAACTAGGGAGACTTTTGAGAAGCAAATCTATTAAAACAGAAGTGCTGAAACACTGGACAGCCATATTTGTCTCTAGCATATCCAAATGAAGCCTCCTCATCTCTGATTGGTGACAATCAAACCATTTGTTTTCAAAGTAAGGCTACATTATTTGGAGCACTTTTTTTTTAAGCTGGAATAATTAGAACACATAGAAAGGAGAAGAGCGTACCTTGATCCTGAGCCGTCATTTCTGCCATGATAATCACAAGTACACTGAGATGGACATGAGCAGCTTGCTCCCTCCAGAAAGCTAAGCACAACATACACACAAGCAAAGAGCAGCATGGCTCTTTCCAGAGGTGATTAGAATGAAAGGCATAAAAATGAGCCCTAAACATTCAGAAACTGGTGTTCCCACAAGACAAGCTGGCGTTTAGTAACAGCAGATTACACAGGATTAGCTGAGATCTGAGTTACTTAACCTTCAAGTGTATCTTCCCGGGGACCAATCAGCCCCGCCTTTGATTATATCTCAGCCAGGCCTTCTAAGGAAAATGAAAAAAAAAATCAAACTAGCTAGGTGTGCAAAGAAATACTATCAAGTCCCTTTCCTGTGGATGTAATCATTGCTACACCTTAAAAAAATATACTTGATGTTAAAAAGATCCCAATGTCTTAGAAGAAAGTAAAAACATTTCTCTGCCTCATTTGCATGTCCACTAATTATCTTTGTTTGGTTGGTTGAGTTTTGTGTTTGTTGGTTGGTTGGTTGTCTGGTTGGTTGCTTGGTTGGTTTTCTCAATGCTGAGATTGAACTCCAAACTTTGTACTTTCTATAACTGACCCCCCTCCTCCACACACACCCAGCCATGTTGTTTTCTTTTCTTTTCTCTTCTTTTTTATCGGTTGTGGGGCTTGAACTCTGGGCTTAGGCACTGTCCTTGCACTCTTCAGCTCAAGGCGAGTACTCTACCACTGGAGCCACAGTGCCACGTCCGGTTTTCTGGTGGTTAATTGGAGATACAAGTCTCACAAACTTGCTTGCCTGGGCTGGCTTCAAACTGCTCTCCTAAGATCTCAGCCTCCTGAGTAGCTAGGATTACAGGCCTAGCGACCAGCACCTGGTCGCTTTTCATTCTTGAGATAGAGTTATATGCTAACTTTGTCCAGGAAGGCTTGGAACTCACCATCCTTCTGATACTGCCTCCCAAGTAGCTGGAATTACAGGTATCCACTACCATGCCCAGTTTATGATTTTTTTGCTTATGATTTTTTACAACAAGTGCTGTCATTATAGACTGATGGTAGTGTGTGTATGCCTGTGTCTGTGTGTCTGTCTGTCTGTCTGTCTGTGAGAGAGAGAGGGAGTGTGTGTGTGTGTGTGTGTGTGTGTGTGTGTGTGTGTGTGTGTGTGTGTATAGTGAGGCTAGAAATCAGGGCCTCTTGCTCTCACTTGGCTTTCTCACTCAAAGCTGGTGCTCTACCAATTAAGCCATATCTCTACTTCCAGCTTTTTACTGGCTCATTGCATAAAAGAGTCTCATGCCCTTTTCTGCCCCAACTGGCTTCGAACCTCATTATAAAACTTCGTTGAAATTTATATTAAATTTCAAAGAAATAAGTTCAATACATAAAATTGACTTCAAATAGAGTTGCCATAAACTAAGTTCAGGCCATAGGAATTTAAGAAACCTCTTCAATGCCAGGAACTGGTGGCTCATGCCTATGATCTAGCTACTCAGAAGGCTGAGACCTGGGGCTTGAGGTTCAAAACCAGCCCAGGCAAGAAAGCCCAGAGTCTCTTATCGCCAATTAATTAGCTGGAATGGAGTTGTGGCTCAAGCCTTGAGTGGAAAAAAAGCTGAGACACAATGCTCAGGCCCTGAGGTCAAGCCAAAGAAGAAGAGGAAGAGAAAGAGGAGGAGGCGGAGGAGCAGGAGGAGGAGGAGGAGGAAGAAGGATGGAGGAGGAAGAAGAAGAAGGATGGAGAAGGAAGAGGAGGAGGAAGGAAGGAAGGAAGGAAGGAAGGAGCTACCTTTGTACAATCCCTTAATCACAACCCCTTAATATAACAAAATAAAATTATATTTTTAAATTAGGGTGTTGGTTACAATGAAGTAATGAAATGCACAGGGTAAAAACTAAACTTGTAGATTGTTATAGCATTTTATAATTACATAAACATAAAGAATTATATATAGAAACCCAATACCAAGGTTTCACTTAATATGCAGTCAACTGTATTGAGACAAGTTATTTTTATCAGCAGACATGAGCTGTACAAGGACCGTTTCACTGTGACATTATACCATGTGCCCCAATCAGCCTTACCCCTTCTATTGCTCTTACCCCCTCTTCATTTTTAAAACAATTAGAACAGGTTTTATTGTTCTGTTTTCATACTTATTCATCCTCTTGGTTAGCACCTCCTAGAGCCTAATTTATTTAAGGGGACAATTTATGAATAAAGCAAAAGTAGAAAACAGAAAACATGATATGTAAAGATCCGCAGCCCCAAAGAAATGTGTGATCAAATGATTTCATGTTCCAGTATGTAACTCAGAGTTTAAAAATACGATGGTACAGCTGGGCATCAGTAGCTTATGCCTGTAATCTTAGCTATTCAGGAGGCTGAGATCTGAGGATAGCGGTTCAAAGCCAGCCCAGACATGAAAGTCTGTGAGGATCTTATCTCCAATAAACCACTCAGAAAACTAGAAGTGGTGCTGTGGTTCAAGAGGTAGAGCACTAGCCTTGAGCTGAAGAGCTGAGGGACAGTGCCCAGGCCCAGAGTTCAAGCTCCAAGACTGACAGAAAAAAAATTACAATGATACAACACTATGAGCAGGAGGGCAAGGCAAACAGTGTACTTACACAAACTCAGTGCAGTATAAATTGTCTTTTCCTATAGCATGCCAGCAAAGGTAACATTGATTTTATATTTGCATCCAATAACATTAATCTGGAGAAAAGCTCAAACAGAATAATCTCTTCTAAAAAAAACAGACATTGGTACCACAGTGTTCCCCATTGTGCATCCATGAATTTAAAAGTTGGGAGCAATTTAGATGATGATTTGTTTATATGATGGTTTGTTGTGCTATATTTAATAACCTTTTTAAATGATGACTTTATGACTAAAAATCCATTCAACTCAATGTATATTTATTGAGTACCTACAATGTGCCAGACAGAATGAGCCTCTGTGTGAAAATGAATTAAAAAAATTACACAAAACTTCCCAGTCTGGTTCAACTTTCCAGTGGCAAATATGGAAATACATATGCAGAAAAATTGTAGTTAAAATTACAGAATGGTTGGGCACCATTGGCTAGGCCTATAATCCTAGCTACTCAGGAGGCTGAGCTCTTGGAACTGCAGTTTCAAGCCAGCCTGGGTAAGAAAGTCCATGAGACTCTTATCTCCAATGAACTACCAAAAAGCTGGAATGGAGCTGTGGCTCAAGTGGTAGGGTGCTAGCCTTGAGCAAAGAGCTCAGGGACAGTGCATAAGCCCTGAGTTCAAGCCCACCACTGACAACAAAAACAAAAGCCATAGACAAAATGATTTGATAGTGCTTTTCACTTCTTTCAGATTCTTCCAGAAGCCAGTGGGTTTTGAGACACATCCATTGGTAAAATACTTGTCACAGGCATTGCTTGGTGAGTCTGGCATTTTAACATGGCTAACATTGCCCTCCGAAACCTACAATAAACAAAGGGAAAACCTAACATCATTCTATAATGACAGAACATTTAAGCAATTTTTTAAGCAAAGGTGTCACTCCTGCAACAAATCAATACCAGCCTCCAACTCTATCATCAACTATCGAGAACCTTTATAAATTCGTAGGGCATATGGTACAATTAGGGACCAATTTTGCACCACTGATTATAAATATTGAAGACATTTAATAAAAATCAACCACCATACATGTTTACAATCACATTTCAAATGTCAAGTGCAGTGAGTTAGTCATATGAATGGAAGGATGTACATTTCATGTATCTGTTCTAAGCAAAGGTTAGTTTATTTTGAGACCGCTTGAAAAAACTGAGCTTTCCAAAAAGCACTGGGATTAAAATGCATCTGTTCCTCATTTTGTATTGGTCTGCTTGGTCTTAAATTTTTGTTTTGATTTTATGTAGGTGTTTGGTATGTTTGTTTGTAAACAATTGTTTTGTTTTTGAGACAGGGTCATACTATGTAGCACAGGCTGTCCTCAAGCTCATGATCCTCCTGTCTCTGCCTCACAAGTGATAAGATGGCAGGCATACACCACCAGGCCTGTATCTTACCTTAAAATTTTTGGACTATTTCACATGCCTACAGCTATGGCTACCTTTCCCAAATATGTACATTGGATGCACAGATGCATATATTTAATAGAGCAGCATTGACATTCTGGGATCAAATAAGCTGATCCCAACTGAGATGTTGTGCAGATATTTAAGTGTAGCCAATTGGTTAGTTTTCCAGCAATAAGAGGAAATCCACATTTCACTGAAGAGACAGAAAGGGAACTTTTTGGGTGATAGTCTTAAGAAAGATGGAGGAAGGGGAGCAAATTTTTCTATCATCCTGAAGTTAAGACTTTATCTTAACTCTAGATTTTTCTCTTGCATTTGACTATGTCTTCTATTCAGTAAATACATAATTATGCTATACAGGATGACAGCTTAACATTTTCTTGTTCAGAGAATCACTCTTTTTCTGGAATGGGAGAAACATTTGAACCAAGCTCATCAATTACCAACATGATTCTTACTGCCAGAAAGCCATCTGAAATGAAGCTCATCTTTGGAAGACTAGATGGTAGAACTTGGGTCTTGAGTTGGCCAAAGTCATCTTGGTCACTATGTGAAAAGAGTCTGTCACCAAGCTGGAGCGCTGAACACTTAAGATCCCAGATGCTTCTCTGGTTGCATAAGTCAAGTGACAGTGCATTAGGCAGAAATGAGTTTCTGTCACCTCTAGAAAAGTCTTAGAACATTATCTACTGCCTATATGACATTCTTTCTGCTTTAACTTACTGTAGTGTGTGTGTGTGTGTGTGTGAGAGAGAGAGAGAGAGAGAGAGAGAATATGTGTATGTATATACTGGGCCTAGAAATTAGGGCCTCTTGCTCTCCCTTGGCTTTCTCACTCAAAGCTGGTACTCTACCAATTGAGCCACATCTCTACTTCCAACTTTTTACTGGCTCATTGCAGACAAGAATCTCATGGACTTTTCTGCCCCAACTGGCTTCAAACCTCAATCCTCAGATATCAGCCTGCTGACTAATGAAGATTATAGGTATGAGCCACCAGCACTAGGCTTGCATTACTTACTTTTTATTTGCAACCACATAAATACAGGGGTTGTAGAACGTTGAAGATTTTGCAAACAGTGGAGCTATGATTGCCATTGGAGGAGGAATCTCTTTTGGGTCCCCAAAGGAAGCCCATAAGCACACAATGGAATAAGGGGACCATGCCACCAGAAACATCAAGATCATTACCACGGACATCTGGAAAAATAAATTGATATCACTAAGTCCAACATGTACAATACATACATAATTAATGTACCTAAAATTGTGTGAAACATCTACCTCGATGAATGAGTTGATACTGTTGATGGTATAAAGGAAGTAGCTGGGATTTCAGCATCAGTATTCTTTGTTTACATGCCTGAAATAATCTGTGACAAGAGCCTGGTAAATGGCTATGTTGAATGGCACAAAGATGCTGCTTTTAAGAATGCTATATATGTGGAAAGAATGTTCCCTTTTCTTTCTGTGTGCTACAGGAGAGTATGAAAGATAGCTTTAATGAAAGACAGATGAAAACCCACTCAAACCTACTTCGAGTAATTGTGCTTTGAACTGCTGGCATTTATCCATCATCTACCATCTCTGTCTACCTATCTCTCTATCATCTACCTATCTCTCTTCATCTTATCTTCCTAATCCTCCACAAACAGTTTTATAATCAATGGATTCTAACACAAGCCATTTGAGTTGAATATATTTATGTACAGTGCAGATAATTTTGTAAAGGTGCTTTTTTTTGCATCTTCAGTGGAAAAATTATTACTTGACATTGTTCCTTCCACATCAACCACTACATTAAAAGACCTTAAAAAGGATAGAAACCTTTAAGGACAGAGAACTAGAGTTACAAAATAGTTTGTTTTGTTAATAGAAACAGTAACCATTGAATAAGTGTCCAATTGCCATTTAAAAAAATAAAAACAATAGCTGGGCACTGCTGGGCCACACCTGTAATCCTAGCTACTTAGGAGGCTGAGATCTAAGGACCATAGTTCAAAGCCAGCCTGGACAGGAAAGTGTGTGAGACTCTTATCTCCAAAAAAGCCTATTACGTGGAGCTCAGTACCAGAAAAATTCCACAAGAAAATGTTCAAAAGAGCCAAGAATGAGAGAAACCCAGATACAGATGAATCCATTCTACAGAACTACAGGTATCTGGGAACTGAAGGTAGCTCTGAATGTAGAGTACACATAGAACCCAACACAGAAGAAAGGCTGAAATTTGCAAACCAAGAGTCAGCCAGAAAGGGAAGACCACTTTCCACATTGGACCAATGAAGAGCCACACAAAAACATATCAGTGTGAGATTTAGATTACTGAAGACAGAGAGAAGATCCTGTATGTTTATGGAGAGAATTCACAGATCAGAACAAAGGCTCAGTCACCAGAATGCCAAGAGCCTTTGCAACTACATATATAAGCAGTATCTTAGAAGTTCCTTGAATGTTACTATGGTACCTAGAATTCCAGACAGACGATTATGCTAGTAAAAACAAAAATTCCTTGTCACCTTGGGAATCTATACTAGAGAGTGTGTTCCACCCAACAGCTGGAATAAATCAAAAAGTGAAAAGGAAGATAAGCAATCCAGAAAACTGGTGATCTGAGAGGGAAGGGGAGGAAAAGCATTCATAGCAAGTAAAAAGAGGCTGGGGAGGTCAGATTTCGGAGCAGTGGTCTGAGAGAGAACAACCTAGAGATGACTAAGGAATGAGAGGCTCCAACCGAAAATGTGTTGGAATGCAATTTTCATCTGACTATTTATTGCTAATGCACTGTCAGGATGAAGAGAGAAAAAGGGGAAGAAAAGAGATGAGCAGGCTGGTAGCCTTCTCTTCTATAGTACATATTTCAGGGATGGCAGCACACCAGAAATATTCGAAGGGCAGATGTGCATATCATTTGAAAACAGAGGAGTAAAAATAGAAAGAGCTGGGGGAGTGGAAAAATTAGAGATGGGGAAAGGAGACTGGGTCACACATGGAGTTCATTTAATTACATAGGTGTGAAAACTTTTCAGAGAATTTTTTATTTTCTTACCTTTGTTACATCTACCTGATCTGACCAGTCTCCACTGAGGATCACAGTGCATTTACTAGTAGCATGGTATTTAATGGATTGGGTCACGTGATAATAGCAGTAAAACATCACTGTCAAGGGCACAATAAAATTTATCACAATAACTGTCATGGTGTATGACACGAAAGATCTGGAAATAAGAAAAGACAATTGTGATGACTCATTTAATGTCCTAACTGGGGGAGTGGGGAGAAGACATAATTATTAGAAATACTGACAAGCATTGTATTGTTAGTTTAGAAAATATATTTGTTTGGGGGTGTTTTTTTTTCCAGTCGTGGGGCTTGAACTCAGGGCCTGAGCACTGTCCCTCAGCTTCTTTTTGCTCAAGGCTAACATTCTACCACTTGAGCCATAACACCACTTCTAGTTTTTTTTTTTTTCTGTTTATGTGGTGCTCAGAAATCGAGCCCAGGGTTTCATGCATGCTAGACAAGCACTTTATCACTAAGCCACATTCCCAGCCCCTAGAAAATAGAGCAGGGGCTGACAAAACATGAACCTTGGGTCAATTCCAGCCAGGCAGCTAGCTATCTTTATAAATAAAGTTTTATTGGAACGTAACCGTATGCATTCATTTACATACTGTCTATGGATCTCTTTACAGTACAATGACAGAGTTAAATAGATAGAGCCAATCTGGTTTATAAAGTCTAAATTATGTTTTTGGACTATTGACAGATATAACTTGAGATTCCGTTTTTAAATTCTTTTTTTGAATCATTTCCTATTTTCCTCAGGGAGGAAAAAATAAAAGAATATCACTAACTCACAGGAAAATTCCTAAAGTGACTCCAGCTGCAAAACTCTTAAGAAAATGCTTGAACATCAGATCATCTTGCAAAGATAGTAGAAGCAGCTTGGGCTTTCCTATAGCTGACTGCTGTCCATCTTCACTGGCTTTCTTTTTCTACTCGGGATCCTAACTCAGATACCCTTCCATATTGAAAGGCTGGTGGGTACCACCCAATGCTGCCTTAGGAGAAGACAGAAGAAGAGAGGAAAGAACTTGGATGGCCTTTACTTGCAAACAAGCATCATTCACTAGCATTATGTTTTATCCCCTGCTTCAATCACTATCAAGGAAAGCACAGCTGAGCCTCTATCTCAAGAGTGAGCCTTTGATTATAAAGTATAAACATATCTCTTACGTATCATTTTTCCTCCAGTTTATGGTACAGGTAGCCCCGGTAGGATCTGGAGCATAACTGGCCCATCCTATGATGGGCATCAAAGCCCAGAACAGACCATTGATCCAGGCCCCCAGAATCATGGTGACGTAAGTCCTGGTGGTCATGCCTCTTCCTGTCATCAAGAATAGGGAACATTAGCATCATTCGCAGTGGTAAGGACTCACTTTGCTTCCATGGATGGTTCAAAACTGCTATCTGGTGGATTTTTTACAGACTACTTTCATCTACACAAGGCCTGTCTATAGGAATTCACATTCTGTAAATTAAGACATTGAAGCTAAAACCTGAGTAACAAAAAGGACAAATCAGAATATAAGCCAGGAGAAGAGATTTCCAGGCCAAGGAAAACAGCATTTATAAAAGTGCCAAAGTGGGAAGGAAGTTGGCCAATATGTCAGGAGATAGTGTTCCTAGCCAAAGGTAGGCAGGTAGCAAAACCAGTCCTGCAGAGCCTGAAAGACTTATAAAATTTGGGATTTGTTTTAAACAATACTGGGAAGACCCTGAAACTTCCCCTCCCTACCTGCCCTCTTTGCTCAAACTTTTGAACAAGGATTACTAGAGAGAAATAAGGTTGATGATGGTTACAAACAAGAACATAATTTGGTTTAAAATGAATGTCTGATGGATGCCAGTTGGGCATTCAATCGCCTCCCTGAACAGCTGAGGAACTTGCTCTTACCTATGTCAGGATGACAGATGGTCAGGTATCGATCTATAGCTACAACTGTGAGTAAGCCAATGCTTGCCATTCCGAAAAAGATGTTCAATCCAGCATAAATCTGAAAAATCAAAATTGAAGAGAATTCACCATTCCAAAATACCCTCCCAGAAAAACATTTAAAGTTTGTCTCATCATTATTACAAATACACAAAATGCTTTTATAATGTTTCAAGATATACCTTCCATAACTGATTTTACAAAGGCATTTCTAGAAAGTGTTTTGAATTTTTTTTAATTTTTAAAATTTTGAGACATAAGGTGAAACTTCTTATAGGTTATTGTATCAACTAAACACACAATATGCCATACAGTAATGCAAAATGCAAAGCAAAAGTTTAATATTCAGAAAAAGGCCAGGGTAAATTCAATAGAAAAATGGTCAACAATGAATAATCTGTTCACCCAAGTCCATGTAATATGAATGTTTAGTTTAATATGAATTTTTAGTATGTAAAATATACAACCAACAACCACAATAATTATTCAAAGAAAAACCATTTTTTAAATCATCTAACATTCACAGAAATAATGAAAATTTAAAAGTCTGACAATCCCAAGATTTGAAGAGGTTTACATTATCAGGATAACCATTTTGGAAAGTAATCTAACCATATCTAATGAGGTTGAAGATAAAAATTTTGTACAAGCCAAACTTTGCTTTTCTGAGTGATATGTCTAGAGAATTTCATATAAGTTAGTAATGGAGACATGTGTAGAAATTTACTGAAGCTTTCTTTAATTGCTTAATAATGTGAAAATAACAAGGTATGTAGGAGGGCTGTATTTATACAACAGAAAATCACATAGCAGTCTAATAAATGACACAACTGCATCCATTAAAATAGATAAATATCAAAAACACTATTGAACAATTATAGTAAATTTTGCATATCGCCGGCAATCTGACATTGATACAAAATTTAAAATAATCAGCATCTGGGGCTGGGAAGGTGGCTCAGTGGTAGAGTGCTTGCCTTGCATGCATGAGGCCCTGGGTTCGATTCCTCAGCACCACATAAGCAAAAAGAAAAAAGCCGGAAGTGGCGCTGTGGCTCAAGTGGTAGAGCACTAGCCTTGAGCTGAAGAGCTGAGGGACAGTGCCCAGGCCCAGAGTTCAGGCCCCACGACTGGACCCAAAAAAATAAATAAATAAAATAAAATAGTCAGCATCTGATTTATGTACACAAAAATATGTAGCTGGAAAAACACTCATGGAAGAGAAAAATAATAAGATAGGGAAGGTAAGTCATGGCTTTCCACAGTAGCTCTCAAGTTTGGTATGTTTAAGAATAAAAATAGTCTGAAACACAGATTGAAAACCATTGAAATTTGACAAAATTGGTCAAAATATATGTGGGCTCCTAGTATTCTGTTATTCTTACTTGATTCTCTATAATTTTATGATTTATAATAATAAATTGCTTAAAAAGTTAAGCCAAAGTTGAACATACTTACTAAAATAAATTAATATTCATCTCATTATCAGTAGAAATAATACTAAATATAATTAGTACCGATTTTTGTAAAGGACTTTTTATAAGGAAAATTAATGTTATACCATAATTAGATTCCTTAGGTACAATGTCTATCATGAAATATTTATTTAGTTATTATTTATTTATTTATTGCCAGCCCTAGGACTTGAACTCAGGATCTGGGCAATGTCCCTGAGCTTCTTTTACTCAAGGCTAGCACTCTACCACTTGATCCACAGCACCACTTCCAGCTTTTTCTGTTTATGTGGTACTAAGGAATGGCACCCAGGGCTTCATGCATACTAAGCAAGCACTCTACCAGTAAGCCACATTCCCAGCCTCATGAAATACATTATTTCAAATGAAAATAGGTATTTCTTTTTTAATTTGTATATACAGATTTTCATATAGCTATACAGACTGTCACTCTTTAGTTGGATGTGAGTTTGGTTAGTGTTTGGAGAGCTTCTTCATGATTTAAAGATGTCTTAAAGAGGGCTGGGAAGGTGGCTCAGTGGTAGAGCGCTTGCCTTGCATGCATAAGGCCCTGGGTTCAATTCCTCAGCACCACATAAACAAAAAGAAAAAAGCCGGAAATGGTGCTGTGGCTCAAGTGGTAGAGCGCTAGCCTTAAGCTGAAGAGCTGAGGGACAGTGCCCAGGCCAGAGTTCAGGCCCCACGACCGACCAAAAAAAAAAAAAAAAGATCTTTTTTAAAAAAATTGTTTTAGAAATAACATATCCTGTACCAGGTGCTGGTGGCTCACACCTATAATCCTAGCTACTTAGGAAGCTGAGATCTGAGGATAGTGGTTCAAATCCAGCCCAGGCAGGAAAGTCCATGAGACTCTTATCTCCAATAAACCCCCAGAAAACTGGAAGTGGCACTGTGGCTGAAGAGATAAAGTGCTAGCCTTGAGATGAAGAGCTGAGAGACAGCGCCAGGGCCCAGAGTTCAAGCTCCTCGACCAACAAAAAAAAAAAGAAAAGAAAAGAAAAGAAATACCATATCCCACAGTATCTTATTTAATCTAAATTCTTGAGATTTTTAAGAGATTTAAATTTACATCTACTGGGTCTACTTGATTTTTGCTTTATTCCAAAGATCTGTGATACCTGACAGCCTGCATATCCAAATTTCCATCTTCCATACAGATCTGAAGCAGCAGACATGGGGTAGCCTATGCTGCTCACCCCTATGTCTGTCAGAGCCAGGTTAATGATGATTGCGTTTGTGGGAGTCCGAAGTTCCTTGTACTTAATGAATATACCGAGAACTATGAGGTTGCTGAGAATACTTATCACACCTGAGGACATAAACAAACATATGAGTATTTAAAAGTAGAGTCAACATGTAATGGTCAAGCCCCTTCAGGAAATGACCGAAAATCTACTTTAGTTTGTTAGTTTGAAGCATTCCCTACTGTTTTTCAGATTGTAACATCTTCACAACCATTTCTGTGAAACAGAAACAAGATTAGAACAAAGAAGTTCTGCTGATTGCATAGCCAGCAGGAAATGTTGCTTTTCTTTCCTTTTTTTTTTTTTATTGTGAAAACACTGTATAGAGGGGTTACAATTACATGGGCAAGATAATGAGTACATTTCTTATCAAGCATTGTAGCCTCCTCCTTTGTTTCCCCTTCCCATCCCTTCCCATTCTCCCCCCAATCCTCCTTCCCCCCCCCCACCCCGCCCCTGCCAAATTATATTAAGTGAAGTAAGCCAGGCCCAAAGAAAGTTAGGTCCCATGGTTTCCCTTATTTGCAATAACTAGTATATGTCTGAGTCAAGCAGAAAAGGTCAGATAAGTTGATGTTAGGCAAATGAACCCTAAGATATGTATTCAAATATTTTTTTTTCTTTCAGGTGATTGTTTCTAACACATTTATAAGATTATTTCTTTGTTGCTTTTCATGTTGTTACCTCTGACACCGGGTCCTTTTTCTTTCTGGGACGCCTGGATGACAACCACACTCTCACTTTTAGTGACTTAACTTCCTCCTCCCTTTCTCTGACACCTGAGGCTCTTCTTTTTCTGTAAGTTCCTTTCTCCAGCCTTCAACCATCATCCTACCCTAACAGTGTCCTCTTAACACTATCTCTGGCCCCTGACATATGCTCTGGGTTCACATTTTATTCAACTCTCCATCATGAAACACTGATTAAACATGTACGAAGTATGGAAGATATGTGATTGTTCCAATTTTCCTTGAAAGTCAATATATCCATATCTGAATTCATCATACCATACACACACACACACACACACACACACACACACACACACACACCTGTAAAAGACTGCCCACTGCAAGATTTGACTATCCCAACAATTAGTTAATCCAGCTGTCTCTTCCACTAGGATTTATGGTACAGTTGATAGCACCCTAGCCAACTTAACCTTGTAGTCCAAAACTGAACTTTTTCAATGTCCCAGAATTGACTGGTCTCAGATAGACTGAGAACAAAACTTATTGATTAGAATTCTAGTGTATTCATTTATGAAAAATACTGATTAGACCAGTGTTCCACATAAACCTAATCAACAGTCCCTAGATGTTGAATAGGATGCATACATTTTCCCTAAAGCAGATGTGAGCTACTCTACTCCATATGGTGCGGGGGAGTGGTGGGGGACAGACTGAGATTTCCCGAAAGAAGCAAGCTAGACCCAGTCCTGGCCTTCTGGAGAAAGAAAGGGTTATGCCATACACAGGAATAGAATGGAATTTCCCATGAAGAGAACTCCTTGATGAGTGATTCCCAGCTATTGTTAGCAGAAGGGAAGGTTTCCAAGCACCATCACACAAAAGAATCAGCTAAGTAAGATCTGTCATAGATGGTACTTGAATCAAAACATCCGCCTTAGCATCCTGTTGTACTAATCTTCACACTCCCGTTCTTTCCTTTAGAAACTGCAAGCCGAATATGCTTGCCACCGCCTACACTTGTCAAATAAGCTCACCAGTCTAGTAGTTTGCCAAACACACCATGGTTATTATAAATCTTGACTCCGATTTTCCCCGCTGGAAACACTCTAATCCTTTTCTCTGCACATGCAAATGCTAGCCATCCTTCAATGTTCAGTCCACATCGAATTTGGTCTAAAACCTTCTTCTATCCATAGTCCTATATGTTTTCCTCCCTCAATCTTATGTGATCCTGTATTATTTAACTGTACGTTCTCCTACTCTTGTCATGTACATAGCAGGCTCCTAATGAACTCTGTCTTGAGTATGTGACATATAGTAGCTTTATTTAATACAAAGATCACAACTAAAACTCACAATTAAGCTTAATTTCTATTGCCCTGAAGTTGCCTGATAAAACTGACTCTTGCAGTTATATAAGTGAAAGATCTAAAAGACTGTTCAGATCCAAGCATAGTAGCTACGTAGCAAACACCTTGCACTGAGCAAATTTTGGAAGTTCTTTGCCTGTATAAGCAGGAGAATCAAAACTAAAACATACGTTACTGAGTTCATGTAAGAATGAATTATTTTGTACATGTAAGGATTCAAAACAATGTTTGGTGCATAGCAAGTTATCAAATGATATTGGTACTGGCAATAAGATTCCTATTATTATTTCTGCTGCAAAGATCAGTCAGATAGATGGTCTTAGGAAATTTCCTTTGCATGTGACTCTTGTTACCAGACTACTTTAGCATTCTTTTAGTCAGTTACAAATAAATAAATAAATAAAACAAAAAAGGAAAAAGAAAAGCTGGATGTTGATGGCTCACGCCTATAATCCTAGCTATTCAAGAGGTTAAGATCTGAGGATTGTGGTTCAAAGCCAGCCCAGGCATGAAATTCTTTAAGACTCTTATCTCAATAAACCACCAGAAAACCAGAAGTGGCGCTGTGGCTCAAATGGTAGAGTGCTAACCTTGAGCTGAAGAGCTGAGGGACAGCACCAAGGCCCAGAGTAGAGTTCAAGCCCCAGGACGAACAAAAAAAAAAAAGGAAAAAGGAAAGAAAAAGAATTTTTTTTAAAAATGCAACATACTTCAGTGTAAGATTGTCTCTCACTTTTCAGCAAAAAGAAAAAAAGAACTTCCAGTACTTATGTAGAAATATTCAATAAATATCTCTAAAATTATGAAACATTAACTAAGGAACTCTTAATTTCTAGCATAAGAAGACATACTCTAATTGTAATTATGAGAAAAAAATTAAACAGTTATGAAGAATAAAGTAGATCCATCCAGATTTTGTTTTATTTTTTCACTCTATTTCAAACATGTCTTTAACTTTCCATAAAAGTCCATCAAAAAAGCATTGAATTTAATATAGTAGTTATTTGTAAAACTCACCAGAGAATAATTTCTACTGTCATTTCCTCTGCCACTTTTTTCTACAAACAAGCCTCTATCTTAATCTAATATTAGAATTGAATGTATATATCCAAGAGAAGCAAATATTTGCCTGGCATCGAATTCATTTCTCACAACAATCATGATAGTTACTTCACTGTACAAAATATGAACACAACATTATTTCAAAGATACTAAAATATGACTTCCAAAGCTCAAGAGTTTTCTATTATAACATTCTGGAAGGAACTGCATTCTTAAACTCTGCCTTTAATGATAATATTATATTCTGCTCTCTTTTTAAGACTTGAATTTTCTTTGTAATACTTATCAATCTTTAGCTAGATACCAACACCAAGAAGAAAACTATAACAATTATGTATGAGAATATTAAATGATGGTAAAGATACACTTTGCCATGGTACACACTAAGTAAACTTAGTTTAATAATGAAATTATCAAATATATGGATGTTTTTTATTTATCTTCATTTTATAGAAAACTGTTCCTGGTCATCTTCCATTGCTTGTTATTTGTTAAAATATCTTGTGACATTAACCACTAGTCACAAGGCTTTCCGGGAGAATGGAAGAGATAACATTGATCAAAATGCATTGTACTCATAAACTGACATGTTGAATTAAAATTCTTTTGTACAAATACTTAAAAGTAATTTTTAATATATGAAAATACAGAAACAATATATGAAAAGACAAAGCAAAACCCAATGCTTTCTTTCATTTGCATTTTCTTCTTCAATCCTTACAGCCTAGATTATACTCTAAATCCTATTTTACATGAACAACTTAGCACTATAGATCTGTACTGAAAACCTGTATTTCTTCACCCACTGGAAACCAAGATAATCATTTGTTTTGCAGTAATGGCCCATACTTACCACAACCACCCATTACCTATGATAAGAGCTCATACTTGCCAAAATGGCCCATACCTGCTGTAATCAAGTAAGTAGCAACAATGTTGTGTTCAGTTTGTGAAAAGACAGAGCCATCTTCATTTCTAGAGCCTGAACTGTTACCTACATTATTCCTTAGCATTATGGGGGAGAGCTATGGAGACAGCTTACACAACAAGCCCTCAATAATTATGATCTGCTTTAATAGCATGGGAGGAAAGATTTGTCAGGACCAATCATTTCCACCTACAGAGCTCAAAAAATGGTCTTTTCATACAGGCCCTGCTTAACAAATGGAATTGGGCTAAAGAGGAAGGGATTTTAATGCCCAGAATATGGGAAAAGCTTATTAGTGAAACAAAGAGAGAAACACTAAGTCTCATACCAGTTTTTATGCTGAAGCAGGTCACCAAGCACACCCGTCCTACTTAAACAATAAACAGTCAGTGAAGGAGCTGACTGAACTCCTTTCTGCCTGAAATTAAAAACTTGTTTCGTCCTATGTAACTAATCAGATTAAGTACTCTGTGGTCTGTTGCCCACTTGAGCTGTTAGATTTCAGTTTCCTTTGTGTTTAACAATTTATATACTTAGAGGTAAAGAGTAACCTCTCCCCTCTGTATTTTCATATCTCACTCCCTTACAGGTATCAACATTTTTTGGTGTATATCCTTTTAATGCTTTACTTTGCTTATACAAACATCCATTCATACAAATGTATATGTATGCTTGTTTACAAATGTTTGAGGTTTCTCTGGCTTTTTTACTTTTTTTTGGGGGGGGGGGTCCAGTCGTGGGGCCTGAACTCTGGGCCTGGGCGCTGTCCCTAGCTCTTCAGCTCAAGGCTAGCACTCTACCACTTGAGCCACAGCACCACTTCCGGCTTTTTTCTTTTTGCTTATGTGGTGGTAAGGAATCGAACCCAGGGCCTCATGCATGCAAGGCAAGCGCTCTACCACTGAGCCACCTTCCCAGCCCCATATTATAGTCTATGTTGTTTGGCATG